TGGGCAAATCAAAGATGTACTTAACAATATGTCTGACTTCCCAAAGCCTTACTCAAATCCACTTTTCAAGTTACTAGCAACCGGCCTTGCCGACCATGATGGAGAAAAGTGGACCAAGCACAGAAGGTTAATCAACCCTGCTTTCAATTTAGAAAAACTAAAGGTCAGTTGCTTGCATTTGATAGATATAGACTTGTGATCTGTTTTAAAACATCAGAAAGAAAAAACATGTTGAAGTATGCATGTTTTTGTGTTTAGTTCGAATGATGTGATTCTAACTCCGAGTGATTTCCTTATTGCACCACAGACTATGTTACCATTATTCTTCGAAAGTTGCAATGATCTGGTTAGCAAATGGGAAGGAATGTTGTCTTCAGAGGGATCATGTGAATTAGATGCATGGCCTTTCCTTCAGAATCTGGCTAGTGATGTTATCGCTCGCTCAGCATTTGGAAGTAGCTTTGAAGAAGGAAGAAGAATATTTCAACTTCAAAGAGAGCAAGCTAAACTTGCATTTCAACTTTTATTCAAAATTCAAATCCCTGGATGGAGGTAACTTGTTTGATTGGATGACTAAAGCAAGTTCAAGCTTATCAAACGAGTTTTGTTTCACTAAACTTCCCTCACTAAATATGGCATGCAGGAAACAATGGATTGCAAATAATGAATATAATAGAAATCAGAGAAATGTAATTTATAGGACAACAAACTTTCTGAATATTTAGAGGGTAATATTTGGTTTCTCTTAAATGCAATTTGAATAGGAAAACATTCATTCAATGATAAACTCAATTGCTAGTAACTTTTTTTGTCAATAGATCTGCCTTTGGAACTGCATTTGAGTTTGGAAAAATCTTCCTTTTCATGTACACAATTAATGGGATGGAAAAATGTATATTTGTAGGTTTTTGCCTACTAAAAGCCATAGGAGAATGAAGGAAATTGACAGAGATATAAAAGCTTCGCTCAAGGATATGATTTACAAGAGGGAGAAAGCACTAAAGGCGGGTGAATCCACTAATAATGACCTGTTAGGTATACTTTTGGAGTCCAATCACAAGGAGATTCGAGAACATGGAAACGGAGATAATAAGAATGTTGGAATGAGTCTTGAAGACGTAATCCAGGAATGCAAGCTATTTTACTTTGCAGGGCAAGAAACCACTTCAGTTTTGCTGGTTTGGACAATGGTGTTATTGAGTAGGTACCCTACTTGGCAAGAACGTGCAAGGGAGGAAGTCTTGCAAGTCTTTGGCAATGAAACGCCAGGTTTTGATGGTTTAAATCGCCTAAAGATTGTAAGTACTGTATTCTATATCTTATAATAAATTGTATGTCCTCTGTACTCACTACAAATCTTTTTGGTATCAGGTCACTATGATTTTGAATGAGGTTCTTAGATTATACCCACCAGCACTTGGATTGGGTCGAGTTGTTAAAAGAGATCTGAAACTTGGAAAGGTAACATTACCTGCTGGAGTGCATGTTTTCCTCCCAACAGTTTTGGTTCACCATGACAGTGAATTTTGGGGTGAAGATGCTAAGCAGTTCAATCCTGAGAGATTTTCTGAGGGAGTTCTGAAAGCAACAAATGGTAGAGTTTCATTCTTTCCATTTGGAGGGGGTCCTAGAATATGCATTGGACAAAATTTCTCCTTACTGGAAGCAAAGATGGCTTTGTCAATGATTTTACAGCATTTCTCATTTGAACTTTCTCCAGCATATACTCATGCTCCAACTATGTCAATCACCCTTCAGCCACAGTATGGTGCTCATATCATTCTCCACAAAGTGAAAATATGAAAATAAAAGCTAGTAATGTAAATCCTGTCGTATGTTTAATAGTTACTTCCATTTACATGTTGATAACAATAACGCTTATAATGTAATAACAAAATGACTTCTGGGATATTATCATATGTTTAATGGCTTTTCCATTTACATGTTTGAGTGAGATTACCTTTTATCAGTTGTTACTTTGTAATTCAACTGACAACATAAAAAAGGATTTCTTTCTAAAATACATCCAACTACGACACTTTAAACTTAGTTGTTTTGAGAGACTGAGAGTTTAAATTATCGACTCTTTGTTTAATTTTGACCAGCATTCTTGATGAACCATCCCCTAAAGGTTTGATTCAAGAAATTCCTTTATCTGGTATTTTTAGCTTATGTTTAAATAGAGAGTTTCACAATTTTTTGGAACATTTAAATATATGGAATTTGAAGTGATCTCATTTCTAATGGCTTCGGTTTTCAAATATTATGTTTAGATAAAGAAATTCAAATGATTGAATTTTAACTATTTAGTGGGTAAAGTATTTGATGGGATAAGTTCTTTCAAGCTATATGATTCAAGCCAAGGAGAGATTCCCAAATGGGTGATGGTTTACAGAAGCTTGATGGGGTGGTAAAAATATGATGCGCATATGGTGGTTTTGATGTGATAAGGTGATGGATCCTCTTTCAAACTATATGATTTAAGCAACTTAAAGGTGTCTTCAAATTGTAGATGCAAAAATCTAATACTCTAACTTGGAGATCAAGGTAAAATCCTCTCCATTAGGAGAATGACACATGACCAATATTAAGGATAAATCCTTTCCATTATGAGCATGATACATGATCACTGTTAAGAAAAAATCTTCTCCGTTAAGATCATATGTATGACAAAAAGAGAGCAACTTGGAGACCACTTTAGCTAAGGGCATACAAGCTTCTAGAAAGTTTGCTCTCCATATATCCATGTGTCTCCTTAGGACCCATATGAAATTACAAGAAAAACACTAGAAAGGGTTGAATAGTGTTTTGAAATATTTTCGCAAATCAGTGTCTAATGGTTTACAAAGATAATGTGCAAGAGTTTTAAGATCCTCTAGATCTATGGAAACATCAAACTCAGACTCAGACGATTTAGACTCCGAAGGAGATGACAAATTAAATCTCATAACAAAGAAATTTAGGAGAAATTTGAAAAATCTTGATTTAGTAAAAGTAGGAAACTCAAACATAAAAACAAAGAAAAGTAGTATGTTAGGAAGGTAAGAAACTGAGTCTCTATAGATCATAATGTCCTAATCTAACGAGCAAGGATGATGATAAGAAGAACAAAAATCCAATGGCAACATGGGAGGACATGTGTCACAACCGAAATTACAAAGGGACAACGAACAAATATCTTATAAGAGCAAAGATTAGTCGCTACCATAGTTTATTAAAGAAAGCTACAGAAAAACCTAAAATGAAATTGTCTGCAAAACCACATTGAATTCGAGAGTTGGTTAGGAAAGGGATTAAAATCCCACACATCCTTCCTACAACAATTCTCTCTAATCAAGTATGGAAAATTAATGTAATTTTTAAAATATTTGTTGTTCTTTTAAAATTAAACAAAACATGCAAATATGAAAAAAAGAAAATACTTTTTGAAATTTTTATTTTGGTCGATAAGGATTCACCTTGCTCCTATATATTCTCATTCAAATTGAAAAATTATTTGAAAAGCTTTTGATTTTTTTTAAAATGAACCCGACAATGATATCGTTCTTACGTTTTTTTAAGGGATCATGTAATTCTTAAGAAAACTATTTAGTTGGTTGGCATTTTTCATTTTAAAATTTTAATTTTTTATTATTATCAAGTGAAACTATTTAGTTGGTTGGCATTTTTCATTTTAAAATTTTAATTTTTTATTATTATCAAGTGAAACCCAAGACTTAATATTTTAAAAAATTTAATTATCATGCAAATCAAGACTTGATTTGATAATCAATAATTTTTAAAGATATTATGAAAACTTTAATTATTATGTGAGTTTGATAATCAAATTTTTTATATTTTAGATAAATGAAAATTTTAATTACCAAGTAAGTCCAAGACTAAACACGAAAAATAATAATTTTCAATATTATTATAAAAGAAATTTTATAATTTGCAATAAAACTATTAATGTATTGAGAGAAAATATGTGCAACTAAAGTGTTGGAGTTATGTAAAGATTATGAAATAAGAGTAGTAGAAAGACAAAACAAGCCTAAGACCAAATTTGTGTGGGTGCAAAAAATTAAAATGAGGTGTCAGAAGTAGAAAACTGTTCAACCAAACTATGCTTGCAAGCATACGTGGTATCCATTTATAAACGGGGTCTTGCTACCTCCACCACCACCTTTGCTGCCTCCATCTCTTTAACTTTCAATAATTTTTTTTTAATTACAAAATTAGCTTTTTTTATTTTTGAAAACAGGTTAATTGAGAGTTGTTCCTTCACCACTCTAAGTGCTCTCTACACATCTCATATGTAAATTTAACTTTTATTTATAAAATTTATAAAATATTTTTTTTTAAATATTTGTAGGTATCATGAATGCTCGCAAATATTTTTTAAATAAATATCTGAGAAGTAACAAGGGTAAATAACAGATAATTTTTTAGTTGTGTTAGGTAAGTAAGTACTATCGGTGTCTCACTCAAGCCATTGTTATCTATGATAACATTTATGTAATCCTCACAACGTGTCAGTACGGGTAGAATAAATTAGATTCAAAAGTCTAACTTAAATAATTTTAAAATAGAATTTTATCTTGTGAAAGAAATTATTTTACTTTATCCAAACAATAAAATTAAAATTAAAATTCAAACATGTTTACTCCATCCAAACAATCTATTTAATAAATAAAAGATAGTTAAATTGTAACTAATTATGTATTCAATTTTTAAAATTGCTTATCCAAAGGTAAGGTTAAGAGATGGTTCATCAACAATGCTGATCAAAAGTAAACAAAAAGTTCATCATTTAAACACTCAATCTTTTAAACAACTAAGTTTAAAGTATCGTAGTTGAATTTATTCTAGAACGAAATCCTTTTGTGTTTTGTCAGTTCAATTACAAAGTAACAAGTGATAAAAGGTATTCTCAAACACAAACATGTGAAAAGGAAAGCAATTAAACATATGATAATATCCCAGAAGTGATTTCGGTATTACATTATAAGCTTTAAACATGTAAATGAAAGTACTAATTAAACATAGGACAATATCTAAGAAGTGATTTTGTTATCAGACACTATTAGCTTTTAATGTGATATATTTTTAAGATTTCGCTTTATGGAGAATGATATGAGCACCATACTGTGGATGAAGAGTGACTAACATAGCTGGAGCATGAGCATATGCTGGAGAAAGTTCAAATGAGAAATGTTGTAAAATCATTGACAAAGCCATCTTTGCTTCCAACAAGGAGAAGTTTTGTCCAATGCATATTCTAGGACCCCATCCAAATGGGAAAAATGAAACTCTACCATTTGTTGCCTTTAGAACTCCTTCAGAAAATCTCTCAGGATTGAACTGCATAGCATCTTCACCCCAGAATTCACATCCATGATGAACCAAAATTGTAGGAAGTAAAACCTGCACTCCAGCAGGCAATGTTATGTTTCCAAGTTTCATATCTTTTTTAACAAATCGAGTCAACCCAAGCACCGGTGGGTATAATCTAAGAACCTCATTCAAAATCATAGTGACCTGATGCAGAAAAGATTTGTAGTGAGTGCAGAGGACATACAATTTAGTATAAGGTATAGAATACAGTACTTACAATCTTTAGGCGATTTAAACCATCAAAACCTGGTTTTTCATTGCCAAAGACTTGCAAGACTTCCTCCCTTGCACGTTCTTGCCAATTAGGGTATCTACTCAATAACACCATTGTCCAAACCAGCAGAACTGAAGTTGTTTCTTGCCCTGCAAAGTAAAATAGCTTGCATTCCTGGATTACGTCTTCAAGACTCATTCCAACATTCTTATTATCTCCATCTCCTTGTTCTTGAATTTCCTTGTGATTGGACTCCAAAAGTATACCTAACAGGTCATTATTACTGGCTTCACCCGCCTTTAGAGCTTTCTCCCTCTTGTAAATCATATCCTTGAGCGAAGCTTTTATATCTCTGTCAATTTCCTTCATTCTCCTATGGCTTTTAGTAGGCAAAAACCTACAAATATACATTTTTCCATCCCATTAGTTGTGTACATGATAAGGATGCTTTTTCCTAACTCAAATGCAGTTCCAAAGGCAGATCTATTGACAAAAAAAGTTACTTGCAATTGAGTTTATCATTGAATGAATGTTTTCCTATTCAAATTGCATTTAAGAGAAACCAAATATTTCCCTCTAAATATTCAGTAAGTTTGTTGTCCTATAAATTACATTTCTCTGATTTCTATTATTTTCATTATTTGCTATCCATTGTTTCCTGCATGCCATATTTAGTGAGGGAAGTTTAGTGAAACAAAACTCGTTTGATAAGCTTGAACTTGCTTTAGTCATCCAATCAAACAAGTTACCTCCATCCAGGGATTTGAATTTTGAATATAAGTTGTATTGCAAGTTTAGCTTGCTCTCTTTGAAGTTGAAATATTCTTCTTCCTTCTTCAAAGCTACTTCCAAATGCTGAGCGAGCGATAACATCACTAGCCAGATTCTGAAGGAAAGGCCATGCATCTATTTCACATGATCCCTCTGAAGACAACATTCCTTCCCATTTGCTAACCAGATCATTGCAACTTTCGAAGAATAATGGTAACATAGTCTGTGGTGCAATAAGGAAATCACTCGGAGTTAGAATCACNCAACATTTCTCATTTGAACTTTCTCCAGCATATGCTCATGCTCCAGCTATGTTAGTCACTCTTCATCCACAGTATGGTGCTCATATCATTCTCCATAAAGCGAAATCTTAAAAATATATCACATTAAAAGCTAATAGTGTCTGATAACAAAATCACTTCTTAGATATTGTCCTATGTTTAATTAGTACTTTCATTTACATGTTTAAAGCTTATAATGTAATACCGAAATCACTTCTGGGATATTATCATATGTTTAATTGCTTTCCTTTTCACATGTTTGTGTTTGAGAATACCTTTTATCACTTGTTACTTTGTAATTGAACTGACAAAACACAAAAGGATTTCGTTCTAGAATAAATTCAACTACGATACTTTAAACTTAGTTGTTTAAAAGATTGAGTGTTTAAATGATGAACTTTTTGTTTACTTTTGATCAGCATTGTTGATGAACCATCTCTTAACCTTACCTTTGGATAAGCAATTTTAAAAATTGAATACATAATTAGTTACAATTTAACTATCTTTTATTTATTAAATAGATTGTTTGGATGGAGTAAACATGTTTGAATTTTAATTTTAATTTTATTGTTTGGATAAAGTAAAATAATTTCTTTCACAAGATAAAATTCTATTTTAAAATTATTTAAGTTAGACTTTTGAATCTAATTTATTCTACCCGTACTGACACGTTGTGAGGATTACATAAATGTTATCATAGATAACAATGGCTTGAGTGAGACACCGATAGTACTTACTTACCTAACACAACTAAAAAATTATCTGTTATTTACCCTTGTTACTTCTCAGATATTTATTTAAAAAATATTTGCGAGCATTCATGATACCTACAAATATTTAAAAAAAAATATTTTATAAATTTTATAAATAAAAGTTAAATTTACATATGAGATGTGTAGAGAGCACTTAGAGTGGTGAAGGAACAACTCTCAATTAACCTGTTTTCAAAAATAAAAAAAGCTAATTTTGTAATTAAAAAAAAATTATTGAAAGTTAAAGAGATGGAGGCAGCAAAGGTGGTGGTGGAGGTAGCAAGACCCCGTTTATAAATGGATACCACGTATGCTTGCAAGCATAGTTTGGTTGAACAGTTTTCTACTTCTGACACCTCATTTTAATTTTTTGCACCCACACAAATTTGGTCTTAGGCTTGTTTTGTCTTTCTACTACTCTTATTTCATAATCTTTACATAACTCCAACACTTTAGTTGCACATATTTTCTCTCAATACATTAATAGTTTTATTGCAAATTATAAAATTTCTTTTATAATAATATTGAAAATTATTATTTTTCGTGTTTAGTCTTGGACTTACTTGGTAATTAAAATTTTCATTTATCTAAAATATAAAAAATTTGATTATCAAACTCACATAATAATTAAAGTTTTCATAATATCTTTAAAAATTATTGATTATCAAATCAAGTCTTGATTTGCATGATAATTAAATTTTTTAAAATATTAAGTCTTGGGTTTCACTTGATAATAATAAAAAATTAAAATTTTAAAATGAAAAATGCCAACCAACTAAATAGTTTCACTTGATAATAATAAAAAATTAAAATTTTAAAATGAAAAATGCCAACCAACTAAATAGTTTTCTTAAGAATTACATGATCCCTTAAAAAAACGTAAGAACGATATCATTGTCGGGTTCATTTTAAAAAAAATCAAAAGCTTTTCAAATAATTTTTCAATTTGAATGAGAATATATAGGAGCAAGGTGAATCCTTATCGACCAAAATAAAAATTTCAAAAAGTATTTTCTTTTTTTCATATTTGCATGTTTTGTTTAATTTTAAAAGAACAACAAATATTTTAAAAATTACATTAATTTTCCATACTTGATTAGAGAGAATTGTTGTAGGAAGGATGTGTGGGATTTTAATCCCTTTCCTAACCAACTCTCGAATTCAATGTGGTTTTGCAGACAATTTCATTTTAGGTTTTTCTGTAGCTTTCTTTAATAAACTATGGTAGCGACTAATCTTTGCTCTTATAAGATATTTGTTCGTTGTCCCTTTGTAATTTCGGTTGTGACACATGTCCTCCCATGTTGCCATTGGATTTTTGTTCTTCTTATCATCATCCTTGCTCGTTAGATTAGGACATTATGATCTATAGAGACTCAGTTTCTTACCTTCCTAACATACTACTTTTCTTTGTTTTTATGTTTGAGTTTCCTACTTTTACTAAATCAAGATTTTTCAAATTTCTCCTAAATTTCTTTGTTATGAGATTTAATTTGTCATCTCCTTCGGAGTCTAAATCGTCTGAGTCTGAGTTTGATGTTTCCATAGATCTAGAGGATCTTAAAACTCTTGCACATTATCTTTGTAAACCATTAGACACTGATTTGCGAAAATATTTCAAAACACTATTCAACCCTTTCTAGTGTTTTTCTTGTAATTTCATATGGGTCCTAAGGAGACACATGGATATATGGAGAGCAAACTTTCTAGAAGCTTGTATGCCCTTAGCTAAAGTGGTCTCCAAGTTGCTCTCTTTTTGTCATACATATGATCTTAACGGAGAAGATTTTTTCTTAACAGTGATCATGTATCATGCTCATAATGGAAAGGATTTATCCTTAATATTGGTCATGTGTCATTCTCCTAATGGAGAGGATTTTACCTTGATCTCCAAGTTAGAGTATTAGATTTTTGCATCTACAATTTGAAGACACCTTTAAGTTGCTTAAATCATATAGTTTGAAAGAGGATCCATCACCTTATCACATCAAAACCACCATATGCGCATCATATTTTTACCACCCCATCAAGCTTCTGTAAACCATCACCCATTTGGGAATCTCTCCTTGGCTTGAATCATATAGCTTGAAAGAACTTATCCCATCAAATACTTTACCCACTAAATAGTTAAAATTCAATCATTTGAATTTCTTTATCTAAACATAATATTTGAAAACCGAAGCCATTAGAAATGAGATCACTTCAAATTCCATATATTTAAATGTTCCAAAAAATTGTGAAACTCTCTATTTAAACATAAGCTAAAAATACCAGATAAAGGAATTTCTTGAATCAAACCTTTAGGGGATGGTTCATCAAGAATGCTGGTCAAAATTAAACAAAGAGTCGATAATTTAAACTCTCAGTCTCTCAAAACAACTAAGTTTAAAGTGTCGTAGTTGGATGTATTTTAGAAAGAAATCCTTTTTTATGTTGTCAGTTGAATTACAAAGTAACAACTGATAAAAGGTAATCTCACTCAAACATGTAAATGGAAAAGCCATTAAACATATGATAATATCCCAGAAGTCATTTTGTTATTACATTATAAGCGTTATTGTTATCAACATGTAAATGGAAGTAACTATTAAACATACGACAGGATTTACATTACTAGCTTTTATTTTCATATTTTCACTTTGTGGAGAATGATATGAGCACCATACTGTGGCTGAAGGGTGATTGACATAGTTGGAGCATGAGTATATGCTGGAGAAAGTTCAAATGAGAAATGCTGTAAAATCATTGACAAAGCCATCTTTGCTTCCAGTAAGGAGAAATTTTGTCCAATGCATATTCTAGGACCCCCTCCAAATGGAAAGAATGAAACTCTACCATTTGTTGCTTTCAGAACTCCCTCAGAAAATCTCTCAGGATTGAACTGCTTAGCATCTTCACCCCAAAATTCACTGTCATGGTGAACCAAAACTGTTGGGAGGAAAACATGCACTCCAGCAGGTAATGTTACCTTTCCAAGTTTCAGATCTCTTTTAACAACTCGACCCAATCCAAGTGCTGGTGGGTATAATCTAAGAACCTCATTCAAAATCATAGTGACCTGATACCAAAAAGATTTGTAGTGAGTACAGAGGACATACAATTTATTATAAGATATAGAATACAGTACTTACAATCTTTAGGCGATTTAAACCATCAAAACCTGGCGTTTCATTGCCAAAGACTTGCAAGACTTCCTCCCTTGCACGTTCTTGCCAAGTAGGGTACCTACTCAATAACACCATTGTCCAAACCAGCAAAACTGAAGTGGTTTCTTGCCCTGCAAAGTAAAATAGCTTGCATTCCTGGATTACGTCTTCAAGACTCATTCCAACATTCTTATTATCTCCGTTTCCATGTTCTCGAATCTCCTTGTGATTGGACTCCAAAAGTATACCTAACAGGTCATTATTAGTGGATTCACCCGCCTTTAGTGCTTTCTCCCTCTTGTAAATCATATCCTTGAGCGAAGCTTTTATATCTCTGTCAATTTCCTTCATTCTCCTATGGCTTTTAGTAGGCAAAAACCTACAAATATACATTTTTCCATCCCATTAATTGTGTACATGAAGAGGACGTTTTTTCCCAACTCAAATGCAGTTCCAAAGGCAGATCTATTGACAAAAAAAGTTACTAGCAATTGAGTTTATCATTGAATGAATGTTTTCCTATTCAAATTGCATTTAAGAGAAACCAAATATTCCCCTCTAAATATTCAGTAAGTTTGTTGTCCTATAAATTACATTTCTCTGATTTCTATTATATTCATTATTTGCCATCCATTGTTTCCTGCATGCCATATTTAGTGAGGGAAGTTTAGTGAAACAAAACTCGTTTGATAAGCTTGAACTTGCTTTAGTCATCCAATCAAACAAGTTACCTCCATCCAGGGATTTGAATTTTGAATATAAGTTGCATTGCAAGTTTAGCTTGCTCTCTTTGAAGTTGAAATATTCTTCTTCCTTCTTCAAAGCTACTTCCAAATGCTGAGCGAGCGATAACATCACTAGCCAGATTCTGAAGGAAAGGCCATGCATCTATTTCACATGATCCCTCTGAAGACAACATTCCTTCCCATTTGCTAACCAGATCATTGCAACTTTCGAAGAATAATGGTAACATAGTCTGTGGTGCAATAAGGAAATCACTCGGAGTTAGAATCACATCATTCGAACTAAACACAAAAACATGCATACTTCAACATGTTTTTTCTTTCTGATGTTTTAAAACAGATCACAAGTCTATATCTATCAAATGCAAGCAACTGACCTTTAGTTTTTCTAAATTGAAAGCAGGGTTGATTAACCTTCTGTGCTTGGTCCACTTTTCTCCATCATGGTCGGCAAGGCCGGTTGCTAGTAACTTGATAAGTGGATTTGTGTTAGGCTTTGGGAAGTCAGACATATTGTTAAGTACATCTTTGATTTGCCCAGGATCTAAGATGGTCACCCTTGGAGTTGGTCCTAACCAGATAAAAGACTTCTTACCTGCATACCGTCGGCAATTTGTAAGGTTCAAACACTTCCACACTATAAGGATAAAATATTAGAGGAAATAAATAAGCCTGCAACATTGGTTACGGGATGTTTGGTCTTGTATAACCATTTGCACTCAATAGCATATTTATTGAAAGGTAGAGCGATAAGCACCCATGTGTGATTATTTTCTAAAGAAGAAATTTGATCATTCATATAACTAAAACCCATCATGAATCATATTTGCAAGCCTCAACATAGAACTAAGGCTCAGCAGGCAAAATAAGAATAAAGCTGTGATAATGTAAAGAAACTTTGATATATGTACTTTTTTTGTAGTAGTGCCTGGAGGACTAATCTTGGTATTTGATGCGAAACTGGTATAATAATCTTTGTATTTAGGAGGTATGGTTTGGATTACGTAAAATTTTCTAAGGGAATGTTTACAAGAAATAGGGTTTAGATTGAGGAGAGGAAGGGATAGGAGGAGTGAAGAAAAAGCTTGTGGGTTGTGAGTAGTGATGATAGGGTGAGCTAGCGTGACAGGATTAATAACGTTGACAGTGGAGAAGGGAAGACAATTCTAATAAGAATTAACATTTTGAGAGACTTCAATTGTTTGTGTATAAAGTTCGTAAACAATGTAACCTTTTATTGTGAGACTTGAACCTAAAAACACACAAAGTAAATCTCTAGGATCCAATTTCATCTTATGAGTGCCAAGTGGGCTCATGTAACAAAGACACCCAAACACTCAAAGGAGAGTACATCATATAATTAAGAATAGAGATTCTTATGTGGGGACACATTTTCTAAAGTGCGGGAATAAGGATTATGTGTTAGAAAATGACACTCACTGTCTCGATATGCTTCGGGTGTGTTTTCATTTCTTATAAACATTACAATTTATAAGATTAACATTAGGTCTTTCATCTACCGATCATAATACTTCCAATTATTACAAATAGTATAGCATAATGTCTCTAAAACATAATAGAGTAACTTTCTGACTTTTCCTCTCCTAATACAATAAACACTACTATTCTTAATAATTATTTGATAAGTCCTAAATTTAAGTTTATTCCTACAAAACTCATCCATAAACTTAAATTTTTTCTTCTTTCATCCCGATCATTGTTTTGTATTCATGAAACATTAGTGTAGGCAGTGGTTTCGTGAACATATCAGTTATATGCTCTTTGCTTCTTACATGTTCAAGTTCCACACTTCCATCCTTCCGGATAAAATGAAACTGGACGTCTATACGCTTGCTCCTTTCGTGGTTAATTGGGTTCTTGGCCAACTCAATTGTCGATATATTATCTACTCGAATCACCACCTTCTTTTCTTGCTTTATCTCCAGCTTATCGAATAGGTTTTTAAGCCAGATTACATGCCACACACTCCAAGATTCTGCCACGTACTCTGCCTCACATGTTCACAACACTACAATGGGTTGTTTCTTTGAGAGCCAAGTGAAGGTCGTGTTCCCTATAAAGAAAATGTAACCTGTTGTACTCTTCCGATCATCTATGTCTCCACACGAGTCACTATCTGAGATCCACTAAGCCGATAAATGTCTGACTTGGTATACAATAGCCCAAACGACATAGTTCCTTTCACGTACCTTAGTATCCATTCTAGCACTTTCTAATGAGAATATCTTGGCTCCTCCATAAAACGACTTGTGATTCTTATGCTTAGTATTAGGTCTGACCTTGTATTCATTAAGTACGTTAAACTTCCAATTAAGCTGTTGTATCTACTAGCTTCAATTCAGTCCCCATCTTCGTGCTTGGATAGCTTCGTCCCAGGTTCCATAGGAGTAGAAACTGGATTGCATTTCAACATCTTCAACTTATGTAGTATCTCTCTAGCATACTTCTTTTGAGTCACAAAAATACCTCTCGAGCTTTGATCTACCTCCAAACCTAAAAAATATTTCATAATACTAAGATCAGTTATTTCAAACTCTCTACCTTTTTAAACTCTCTAACTAATTCAGTTCTACTCTTCATGAAGATTAAGTCATTTATGTACAAAGCAAGGATCAACAAATCTCCTTTGTGCTTCTTTAGGTATAAAGCGTGTTCATACGGACACTGCTCATAACCATTCTCCTTGAAGTAGGTATTGATCCTCTCATTCCAGACTCAAGGAGCCTGCTTTACGCCATACAACGCCTTCTTCAGCTTCAAGACCCTCTTCTCTTCACCTCTTCTCACGTAACTGAGAGGTTGCTCAATGTACATTTCCTCTTCTAGAACTCTATTCAGAAATGCAGACTTTACGTCCATTTGCTGAATCTTCCATTTGTGTTTGCCCGCTAACGAGACTAGTAGTCAGATTGTCTCTATTCTTGTCACGGGAGAAAAAACTTCATCATAATTAATACCTTTCTTCTATTTATAGCCTTTTACCACAACCCGGGCTTTGTAACACTCCACCCCTCCTTCTGCATTGGTTTTCTTCTTATACACCCACTTCACACCAATTGATTGGGCTCTTATAGGTAGATCAGTCAGTTCCCACATGTCATTCTTCTCAATTGAGTCAATCTCGTCATCCATAGCTTTCTTCCATTTGTCATTGTGCACAGCCTCCTCAAAGTTTATATCATCTGCACATGCTAAAAGACATATAACATGTACCTCGTCAGTAGTATTGTATATATATCTTGGAGAGTTCGAGTTCTAAGTCGCAAATGTTCATCTTCATTTGTATTTGCATCATCCTGGACTTCTTCCATGCCTCCATTTCCATCTGCCAAGCTCTCATTCACGTTGCCTGACCTTCTGTTTACAATCGTCGAGCTCTTATCTTTACCTTCTAGGCTCTCTTTTCCAGGTTTTGTGCTTGCACCTAGCTTTTCCTTCATGTCATCCCAACTTCATTCATTATGTTCATTAAACTGCACATCTCGACTTACCATAACTTTCTTAGTTATTGGGTTGTATAACTTATATGCTTTGGTCCTTTTGCCATACCCAATAAACACGTATTTCTTACTCTTGTCTTCTAGTTTAGTTCTCTATTGTGCTGGAATGTGATCGTAGGCCATGCTGCCAAATACTTTGAGGTGTTTCACACTTGGTTTCCTCATGCTCCAAGCTTCCTAAGGCGTATTCTCTTCTAGTTTCGCATGTGCGCATCTACTTTGGACATAAACAACACTTTGTACTACTTCTACCCAAAATTTCTCTAGCATGTTCTTACTTCTAAGCATGTTTCAGACCATGTTGAGAATGGTTCGATTCTTCCTTTTTGCTACACCGTTTTGTTGCAGTGAGTATGGAGCTACTAAGAAACGCGTTATTCTGTGTTCCTCACAATATTCCATGAATTCTCCTAATATGAAGTCACTTACCCTATCAAATCGAACAACTTTTATTAACTTTCTTGTCTCCTTCTCAACCATTGTCCTAAACTTCTTAAACAATTGAACACCTTGGATTTCTCTCGTAAGAAATATACTCATGTCTTCCATGAAAAGTCATCCATGAACGAGATAAAATATTTCTTACCACTGAAAGACTCAGGGGTGAATGGTCTACATAGGTTGGTGTGAATTAAATTAAGTTGTGTCTCTGCTTGGTACTCAACCGTCTTTGGAAATTTTGTCCTTGGATGCTTTTCGAGTATACAGTCTTAAAAAAACTTCTTTTTAAACTTTATATCTGATAGTCCATGCATCAACTGCTTCTTTGACAGCTCGTCCAATCCTCCAAAATTTAAGTGGCCATGACCTCCTTGTCCACGGCCTCTTACTCGAGGACCACCTCGGCCTCGAGTGTTCCAAGCACCTTCCTTCAAGTCAAGTTTTGCCTGAAGTACCTGATCAAGTTCTTGGACTCCTCAATTGCACACATAATATTCTTGAAGTCCTTAGTTAGTGACCTTAGGATCTTCTCCACAATATGGTTGGCAGACAACTCCTCTCCATTTAGGATCTTGTTTAAAAAATATTAAGAAGTATTTATAATTTTTAAATTAAAATCTAAATAAAATTAAAAAAATAATATAATATAAATTAAACTAAATATAAATTAAAATTTAATTTTAATTAAATTTAATCTAATGAAGTATAAATTAATTTTAATCTTAATTAAATTTAACTTAGTAAAATATAATTGTTTTGCAGGTAATAGATATCTACATGTATGGATAATGTCATACCTGTACTTTTTTATAAATGAATATTAAAATATTCGTTATCTATTTACGAGTACTTAGTATTAGTAACAAATTTTATCAAGAAATACTTATAGACACGAATATTTTTATCATCTTTTATCTTTTATGAAGAATAACTTATCATGGAATTAGTTAATTTGGAAATAGAGATTAAGTTGAATTTGAAAGTTGATAAATATTACACATTAGTCAAAACAAGAAACTCTAAAATATGTATAATACAATAATATTTAGCAATTGATTGTTATCCGTTGGGAGGGTAATAATGATAGGTGAAATTTGTGTATGTTCACTGTATAAGTCAAGAATCGATGCAATATTATGAGTAGCCAACGAAGCAGGAAGCCAAATATTAGGATGAATATAATTGTTTAATGTAAAAACAGGTAAAATACTTCCTACGACAAAAATGATTTTAGGAACAACACTAAGTTGATTAAAACGAGCACTTTAGGCAATGGAAGAAGATCCAATAGTGAGAAAAGGAGAATAAGGAGAGATTGATGGATTCTCATTTGGATGTACGCAAGATTGCAGCTGTAAAGTCATTCGTAAAGTTGAAAACTAGTCAAAGCCGTGAAAGAATGAAATGCTAGTATTAGAAAAAGACAATAAGAATGCGCAACAAAGCTCTTCAAAGACCTCTGATACATTTCATATTCAATGACCGAGGAAAAAGCAAAAGATATAGAGAAAAAAAATATCGTTTCAAACATTATTATTCACAACATTATTATTCGCTCACATTTTCTAACATTAATTATAAATTATGTATAGTTAGGATTGTAAAAATGGGTAATCCGGTCCTGCCCATAATGAATTGATCATTTAGTGAGTTAACGGCTCATTTATTAACGAGTCAAAAAAATCTGAATCCGACCTTATCCACCACGGGTGGGTGGATTAAACGGATTGACTTGCTTAATTACAATGTTTTTTAAAATAAAAAAAATTACAAATTTTATAATTTAAATTTAAATAAATCACATTCTAAAATGATGTTAATAAGAAAATTATCATACAAACCAAATGTAATCCAAAAACAAGTACAAAACGCAACCAAATAAGTTTGTAATATTGATCAATTTTGAGTCATTTATCCATTTATAAGATTAGAGTGTTGAATAAATCTTTAATATTTTGCTCTCTTAAAACATCTCCTTGTTTATCCATATTTACAGTATAAAAAAAAGTATTAACTAATAATATTAAAATACAAAATAATAAATAATTAAATTAGGTGGATTGATGAGCCAACTTGACTCACTACAAGTTTAATTCGAGTGAACTATATTCTTAGTGGACCAGATTGAAAATTAATTCATAAAAAAATTATATATTTTTAAATCCAACCAAATTTAAACGCCAAATTAATCTACTCAGATTGTTTTGACAGCAATGGTATAAGACATACTAATAATAAAATTAAGATTTAATCATTTCACATTCTACATTGGAAATTGTAGATCGCCCAGTGCAACTTTTTTCACATTTATCCTAAAATGTCTTTCATTACATAAAATTTTCAAAGAGCCTATTTCCAGTAACGTATCTAAATTTATGTAACAAATATTTAAAGGTGTCAAATTCAATGAAGTGAACTAATCAACACCCCATAAACAATCTTGCAACATAAACCAAACAAACACAGCTATAAAACATAGCCACTAAAAGAAAAGCGGTGCATGAGCATGAATTGTCAAGATAAAAAAGTGTTTAAAGAAGGTAAATAGATGAAAACTAAAAAAAAAACAAAAACAAAATAGAAACATACCATGTTTGTTGATAGTATGATGGGTGTAGGAAGTGACACGTGGAATTATGTTATCAGAGAGATTCATAGGTTTGGATAAGGCTTTGTTTCTGGTTTTGAGCAAGTCCTTGCTATCTCCAACCAAAAGCCTGTATGGATTGCCTTGAAAGCCTTGCTCTCTTAGCAGCTTTTCAAGTCTCTTTGGTTTGAACCATAACCAGTTCAGAATCTTCCATGCGCATATCAGAACAAGTGTCACTATGAGAGTCAGACATGCTGCTGCTTCCATATCTCTCTTGCTTTTTGGTAAGGGCAATCAGACCAGAGAAAGATGATAAAACTTGAGGCAGGAAAACCACAAATCTTCACACGACTCAGTAGGTAAAGACTATATATATACTTTTGAGCTACACTACTCACCAAGTTATCAATTTCAACTTCTCTTTGTTTTTTTTTTGTCTTTTTTCTATTTATTCCAACAAGAAAGTAACAGGCTTTTGGTATATATTTTTCCCTTATAATTTTTATTTTATCATTCAAAAATATTAAGAACTTCAAAATTTGTTTAGTTTTTATTGAGAGGGTATATTGACGTGACTTTATAAGAAGAGTATAAAAATATTTTTTATTTAAATATAAATTATTATTTAGTTTTATTATATATTCAAAATTTTCAGAGGCTCATAACATAATATCAGATGAATTTTACAATATCTCAATTAGAAATATTGCTCATGATATGTGGAAGATGCTAGAATCACCCATGAAGAAGAGCCAGAAGAAATTCTCTAATCCAAGAGTTTGAGATGTTTTGCATGAAGCAGGGAGAAATTGTTGTAGATATTCAAAAGCGCTTCACGCATATAGTGAATCATCTCATTGGGTTAGGTAAGTTCTTTGATAATGATGAATTAAATATAAATATTCTTAAATCTTTGGACATGACTTTGCAACCAGGTGACGGCCATCAATGAGTCACAAAATCTCAACACTATGTTAATGGCTACATTGTTTGGTAAGTTGAGTGAACATGAACTAGATCTTGGGAGATTGAACGAGAATGAAGAGAAAGGAAAGAAAAAAGCTCTAGCATTCAAATCTTAAATTGATAAAAACAAACATCTTAATGAAGAAGAAGACTCTGAAGAAGATGAAGAAAATATGGATCTCTTCATTAAGAAATTTAACAAGTTCATGAAATCCTAGGGCAAAAGAAGATTTAAAAATGGAAGAAGAAAAACAAGGAATCATCATCAAACTATCGTTGTTATGGTTGCGGAGAAAAAGGACACATGAAGACAAACTGTCTAAACCCAAATAAGTGTGAAGAAAGAGGCAAAAGAAAGTCTTCAAGTAAAAGAAGACATATATTGCTTGGGAAGAAGATAGTGAATCAATAACAAGTTCAAGCGACTCTCATAAGCAAGACAACATATGTTTGATGGTTGATGCCACCTCTAGAAATCAAGTAAGTTCCTCTAACAATTTTGAACACTCAAATTATAGTGAAATTTTTGAAGAAAATAAATTTGAAAAAAAAATTATATTATGAGAAAGGTAAATATACTAAAAATAAAGAATATATTTCATGTTTAAATAAAAAGAAGCCTCTTGATAAAACAACCAACGCTAAAAGTAGTAATAATTCAAAAATTAAAAAGATGATTAAACATGTTCCTAAAAATAATTATAACTACTATGATTATAATTATGATAATAAAATTAAAAATGTTCTTAAATATAATTATAATTATAAAAATAAAATCAAGTATGTTCTTAATTATAGTAAAAATTATTATTATGATTATAATTATAAAAATAGAAATAAACATAAATACAGAAGAACTCGTAAAGTTTAGATAGAAGAAGAAACTACTTATAGGAACCCAAATATTGTTACTTATCTTTATTGCATGAAAAATGACCATACATCAAATAAATGTAGAATAAAACATTATGGTTTTCCAAATGGAATATATGCATGGATTCCTATTTTAAAGGAGCCAAATAAGTATTTTTGGGTATAAGTATTTTTGAGTACCAATATTATTTTTCTATTTTGCAGATTATTTCAAAATCAAGGAAAAAGCTTTTGGTGTGCACCAAAACTTTGTAATGTATGGTTTGTCAAATTAAGGGGGAGTTTTTCAAAATGAAAAGAAAAATTTGATAATTATTTCTCTTTCTTCCTTAAGATATCAAATTTAGGGGCAATTTAATTTTTTTTAAGTTACTAAAGGGGAGTACTTTTTTTTACATTTTTTTGTTATGATAACTATTAGTTATTTGTTTTGCTTTAGTTATTTTTGGCTTATATTCAGGAAGAAGTTTTATATTAAGGGGGAGAAATTATTTAATCATACATAACTCTTTTTAATAATGATTAAAAAGGGGGAGAAATATGTTTAAAGGCTTAATCTTATTTAACTCTTGTCTACTAATCCATTTTCCTTAATGAGTTATATATTACAAAAAACTTTAAAACCAGTTTTTGATCATCATCGAAAAGGGAGAGATTGTTAGAATAAAGATGAAGTATAGAAGTTCTGATGATGTCCAAAATTAAGTCTTAAGAGTTCTTATTACAAGAAAATCTTCATGAAGATTTGTTGTGTATTAAAGCTTTTATAATTTAGTAGATTTATGTATAAGATGTGATTTATCTTTGATTTTATGTATTGTTTGTCTTAGGTTGTGGTAAAATTCGTTTTGAATTAGAAAACTTTATTTTATACTCAAGATAATGACTTGCCATAATAAATTATTACGAGCAATTATGAAAATTTTTATGCAATTTTTTTCACCGTTGTGCATTCATTAAATAATAATCAATTATCATAAGTGAATAATTGATTATCACATGTTAATTAGTTGACAATGGATTTTTCAAAGGTATTCTTGAATTGAGATCTTTATAGATTGGATTGAGACTCATATTCTAAAACACAACATATGAAATAAGTGTATTTCGAAATTTTTACCTACAATATACAGTAATAAGTGTTCATTGGTTTGTGTAACCCTTGTGTGGTGGTTTTGAGAACTTGACGTGTTGGCATAGAGCGAGAACTTTCACTAGGAATGTGATTGAGTGTTGTTGTTAGTGAGTTAAAAGCCTGTTATCCTTTGTGAAGATTCAAAGGAGGTGTTCATGCTTTATGAAGATTCAAAGGATGTGGTCATCCTTCGTGAAGTATTCAGAGAGGAGGTGTTAATCTCTTGTGGGTTATACGGAAAGTGAGTTTCATCTCTTGGAGTAACAAGAGAGGTGTTGTAATGTTCAACTTGTTTATTTTCTTCGTGATTGTAACAATTTGTTGGTTTGTGCTACTGAAATGTTAATTCTTGGTTGACATTAACAACTAGATGTAGGATCTCTGTGATCTGAACCAGTATAAAAATTACCTATGCAATTTTCTCTCTTCCTTGCTCTTTGAATTTGTTTAAATTATTTTAAGTAATTTTTATATTTACGAAAATATTATTAAAAGAACGATTTGTGATAATAAACCAATTCATCTCATCTTGGTTTGTTGAATGCATTGACCATTCACTATGACATTTTGCTTTCTTAATAAGTTCTACAGCTAATCCTAAGATCCCTTTGCATGCCAACTTGTTTAAAAGGCTTTTTCCTTGCTTGTCTCTTTGCAATTTTGATTTTGTCAAGGGTAAAAAAAAAATAATATTAACTCTTTTTTACCTACCCCTACCATGTTACCTTGTAATTTAAGTAAGCTCATGTCTTCAAACTTATAATCTTCCCTCTCAACTTAATAGTATTTGGAGAGTTGGGTAAACACTTTGATTCTACCATAAGAAAAAATAAATTAAGTCAATTCATTTTTATTATAATCCAATAAATATATAAAATAAATTTCAAAATTAAAACGAGTTAATCCGTGAATCCACCAGTGGATTGAAATGAGTTACAAATTTTTTTAGTTCACTGCAAGTAAGTTGGATTGAATTGAAATTTTTTTAACTTCCGTATAAGTTAGTTAAGTGACTTTAACATCTTTAAAAACTAGTTGGTGTCAATAAAGAACTTTATATTAACTTTAAAAGAATCAATATTTTTTGTTTGGATACGCGGAATCATACAGGTAATTTTCAAACTCAAGAAATTGATTTATATCAAATTATTCTAATAAAACAATTTGAAGGTAATTTATATTATTACAACCAAAATTATCCTAATATCCTATTATTCATTTTAATTTTTTTTATCATTATTATTCTAATTTCAATAATTTGCATTATTTCTATCACTTTTTTGCATGTAATATTAATTAATTTTAATAATATAAAATAAACTCCCATTGAAAAAAAAAAACGTCGCACGCGTCAAATACTACAAATATATTTTTGAAACTTCCTAATTCCTAAAACAAATAGATCAAAACCATTTCTCTCAAATATTCCTAAAAATTGCTGGTTGGTTGCAGGCTCAGTGAGTTTTGTTTTCCTTATTGACCCCAGAGAATGGTGTAATAACAAGCTTCGAAAAGAAGAGACAGAGAGAAAGAGAGAGATGAGGTTTTCGGGTTACATAGCTCAATGGAGAAGCGCAGCGAAGGAAGCGATGGACCGCACAGGCATCACTGTGAATTTCCTGTGTTGGCTTCACTTCACCAGCAACTACCTCTGTTCCCCGGTTCACGTATTCATTTCAAAGATTCAAGCCTTTCTCCCCTTCTTGGTGCTTTTCGGATACTCTTTTTGATGCAATTGCGTCATTCCCTGCTTGCAGGCGTATGGGGTTAGCATGCTCCCCACTCTCAACGTCACCGGCGACATCCTCCTCGCCGACCACCTCTCCCCGCTGCTCGGCAACGTCGGCCACGGCGACTTGGTTCTCGTTCGGTCCCCTCTCAACCCTAAGATCAGGTTGACGAAGCGCGTCGTGGCCGTGGAAGGGGACACCGTCACTTACTTCGACCCGTTGCACTCTGAAGCTTCTCAAGTTGCAGTGGTGTGTGTGCTTAGTGGTTTGTTCTTCATTTGCTCTAGAATTTTGTAGTAAATGAATATAATTGTTTTTACATTGTCATCCCATTATTGTTAGGAATCTAATTATTGATAGGAATTCAAGTAAAAGATGAAAGATGATAGGAAATGAGAAAAGTCGGTGTCAGGAAAGAATGACTCATTAATATTAAGTCTTAAACTTAGGTAATTTAAAGTCTTTTATATGGACAACTCATACTTCTTTTGTGTTTGATCTCATTCTTCCACACTCAAGAAATTTTCCAACAACAAATCAGAGTTGAAGGTTTATCTTGGTGTCTAACTCTGACATAGACAAGTATGTCCATTGGAGTAAGATCAAACCGCATTTAGGCTCACACTTGAGGGGA